GCAATATAAATTGTATAAAAGACGATTAGCACATCGATAATACGAGAATTATAATTTATAAGTGGCGGACGTAAACTAAACCTTTGAAGAGGGAAAATACCCTGGCCGCCGAGAGTCAAGTTAACCAGTAGGTACCCAATACTGTTCAAATCTAATAAAATAAACTGTTATGGGTAATTCATAAAAAAATATTGAACAGATTTAGTACTAACTTAATTAAAATATTATTAAAATGGTTTCTCTATATTATTATCATCTTGAGACTTGAGTTGCATTGAACAATTAAAGTTTTTAAACAAAAATGTTCAGACAATAATTGTTTACATTTTGAAAAACTATGTTCCATGTCGACTTATGAAATTCGAATTAATTTTACTTAAAAAATTGAAAATCAAAAATACTACTATTTATGTTACTAATACGTATGTTCTTTTAAATAATTAGTACACTAAATTAGCCTGAAAATATCAAAATCAAATTAAGTACCTACCTACATGTATTTAATATTTTACATTATAATATGAATCATAAATAAATCTTTGTCTGAACTGATTTTTGTATATTAGTATATTACTGATTTAAATTTAATAATGCAACATTTTACACTATTAATTATAATATAATACCTATATAATATTATATTTGTATATTATACAAATCCGACACAACTGATTTTTCACCAATTGGGCTATCTTTGGGTGCCTGCTGGCGACGAAAAATATACATTGGCGATCTGTCACCGATTGGGCTCAGTGGCGGAACTAGGGGGGTGAAGCCGGGGATGTAAAATTTTAGTGGGCGTAATTTTTCTTTAGTTCTTTATTTAATGCTTGGTGATAGAAGTTAAGAAAACATTTTTATTTCACATTATTTGTTTATGATGTTGTAGTGATGACGTTGGAATTAATGAAAAAAAAATAAAGTTAATGGTATTATGAATAGATTCGTATTAGTACCTATACTAAGTATATACTGGTATACTGGCATTAGCATACCTACTGCAAGCATATACAACTAATATACTATAATTATTAAGATTCTGAATGAAAATGTAACTAGTAACTATACATAGGCATTTATTGATGCTGTGTTTTCGTTAAAATTTCTGATACCTACACAATAACTGTTATAAGATTATCAATCAACGTACGATACGTATATTATATCTGTATATTAAAAATTATGTTAATATATAGTTTATAATATTATATATTATAATATTTACCAAGATACATTTGTTTATGTTTAAAAAAAAAAGATTTGATTTTAAATATTTACTTTTTCATTTTTTCTATTATAAATTGTTTAATTAAATACAATTTTTTACTGGCCTAAATTGTGTACCCTAATCAGAATAAAAGATTTTATATTTTACCATAAAAATCTATTATAATTGAAGGCTGAGGCGCATAGAACCAAAACAGCAAAAGGGTTTTTATACAGGATATAGGTAGGTAGTTAAAGTTTTGATTATTTTTCAACATTTATATATAACTAATATTATTATTATTTCTAATAATAAATACAATTAAGTAACCACTGCAGTATTTCCAGTAATTAAAAATGTATCAACAATATGTTAACTAAGTTTTTAAATTTAAAGTGTTTTTGGTGTGATAGTTTATTAGTATAAACTTGGTTACACCACAGTCCACAGAATATATTAATTACCTACTATATATTATTATGTGTTTAAAAGTTAATAAGTATGTTTGTAATTTTAGTTCCAGTTATGATAAAACAATTGTAGGGAATGATATTGTATTTTCAATCTTGGTCTATGATTGGGCTTAATTTTAATATTTTCCCCGGGCGTAAAAATTCTTAGATCCGCCTCTGATTGGGCTACTTTATCAATAGTATCCAGGCGACTCGGGCGATAGTAAAATAATTATCACAATAAGCTATCTAGTTCATGTATAAATATTTCGTCGGTTAATAGGACAATTGATGTAACACTCACTTTTTACGAAATCGATGTTTTGATTGAATTGAATTATATAGATATAAATACACATTTTGGCCAAATATTGTAACCCTCACAAGCATTTTTCTAACCTAAAATTCACTTATAAATTATTTTTTTGATGTAAGCCACATCGAAAATCAAATGTCAAATAACGTAAGCCACGAGGGTTACCCGAAATTGTGTATTCAATTAAATGTTTGTAGGCCAACTAGTGTAAGCTACAACGTAACCCTACACAAAACTTATACCGAATCTACAGTTGAACTAGCCAATTAGTGTATCCCACTTAAACTAATTTATTGAATTAATTTTGTTTTTATCAATTTAGTATTTTATTATTATAACACGGTTGTTGTATTTACTAATCAAGTTATATAACTGATTGAGATGGGTACACATCTTCCAAAATCATATTTAATGATAGCGGAATTTTCGAATTCATTGTTGCCAACTTAGAAAAGTAAAAATCCCACCCAACCCGCTTCAAGGGTGACACCAACCTAACAATAACCACTGATATATTATATATTCAAATATATTTATTTTATAATTTAAATATTAATATAAAATAAATTATATTTTCATAATTATCCATTAAAGCTAAATAATATAAATAATTTTAAATTCGTTAATAAACTATGTACCATAATATAGGTTCCCAAAGATTTTCTTTTAGGAAGTCCTTTAAAATATCACCAATGATTACTAAAAATCGTAGGTACTCCGGTTAGTTAATAAATGTTATGAAATAATTCTTAGTAAAAAATTTATTAATTAAAAATAAAAATAATTTAATTTATTGAAAAAAAAATATAAAATTATATTAATGGTAAGTATTATTTTATAAATTATGATGAGTACCATGATCCTAATTCAATATAATATATTATTTTATGCTATTTATAAGCCGAACAACAAAAAACATTTTTTAACCAATTAAATTAAAATTGTACCTACACCTATTGAAGATTCAATGCATATAGTGTCAAAGTGTCTTTTGAGCTTTCTTGACAAAAGAGATTTCTGTAATCTTTTATTATTGTTAGTAATTATTTTACTTCTCATTTTTATTGTTTTAATTTAACAAATATTAACTATGGAGCAAATTGATGTCTTGAGTGAACATAATTATGTATATTTGGAAGGTCAAATCACAATTGAGAACCATTTAATTGAACATAATTATCATGCTCCAAGTAAGTACTTTTTTAAGTAAAAATTATGAAGTTTCATAATGGTTCACAATACACTCAAAGCTGGGCATTAATTTTTTATCATGTTACGAAGTAAATTTATTTAAGTATATAAATACCTACTTGCAGCAATTTATTTTTAATACACATTAGAGAATTCTATTAAATTACTGTTATTTGTTATAATTGTAATATTTAACAGAAAAATAGAATAAACTGAAATTTATTATTAATTTATATAATATGAACCTTGATTAAAATCTGCCATAATTTGAAGTGAGAGATTATCAAAATATACAGGAAACTTGCAGAATACAAATAAAATATAAAATTCTACAATCTTTGTAGCTGCTTGTACTAAAGTATTATTAGTCATTGCTTGAAAAATAAAAAATTTAAAATTTACTATTTACAATTTAACTTTAACCTTAACTAACATTTTTCTATATTACCTTGGTTTAACAAGTTAAAAAATAAGATAAATTGCCCAGCCTTTTATACAGCCTACAGCCTATTATTAATTTGGATTTTTAAAAAGTAAGTCAATAAGTGATATTATGCACGTTTGTTAAGAATATTAAAAACATATTGAACATATATTTTTAGATAATTTAAATTGTTATTATAATGTATACAAAATATTATTGTAAGCTATAAGTACGTTTCTTTTACATTTCTTTAGTTGAGGATAATTCTGATATAGAAAGTGACTACGATGGTAAGTAATATATAATTTATTAATTTTATTGCTTATTTAAATGCCATTAAATATATATTTTATTTTTAGTTATAAATGAAGATAGTGATGACGAAAATGAAAATATAGAGCCAAGTAGTAACTATGATGCCGGTAATCAATATTTATTAAAAATAATCATGTTAAAAATATTATTCAAGGAAAAAAAATTTAATTTTAGAAAATATGCAACTTAATCGGACCTACACATGTATACCAGGTGTACATGATAAATCTAATATTTATATTAACAATTTTCAATATAAATATTACAAAAAAAGTGTTCTACGTTATTTTATGCTACATAAGCTGTAGACAATTTGTAAAACAATAATTTATGTTTTGTAAAAAAATTATAATTACTTTTATTTTAGTCAATTGTGAGATATTGTCGGCGAAAGTATAATCTGGTATTAGACCTCGTTAAAACCAATCCTGTAGCTGCCCGTGTATTGCGAATGGTAATGAACTACTTATAGTACCTATATAAATAAAATAAATTGTATATGAAATATAAGTTTGTAATTTAGGTCTTAGCATTGCCTCATTTACCAGCCAACAGAGGAAATGAAAGTTGCCCAAATTTTTGTATAAATGATGGTTTTAGGGCAATTTTAGATTTTGAACATCAAAATATTGAAGTTTACCAACGCATGGAAACATTTTTAATCGGGTATGTAATATATATATATTTATTGAACACTTAGCAGCTTATCATATCTATGTGAAATAATAAAAATAAAAAAATAATAATTGACATGTTTTGATTAACAGATACGTACAAAACTTTTGGTTGGTTCAAGTTGGACCTGAATTAATAACTGTATTTGCCAGCGAAATAAGAACAAATAATTACTTGAAATCATTCCACAATCAATTGCTCAGGTTTTTTGGGATGCATCCCAACATCTGGGACTTTATACGTAATAATCTATAAATTATTTTTTTATATATTTATGAACATTTTTTTTCAACATCAAATTATATACTAATTACTTTGTAGGCATAATTTCTTTGGCAAATTATATTGTATTGTTATTGCTAATTTATTTTCCGCTGTATATGAAAACTGAGAATTTTGGAAAACCAGTATTATGTGGAGATGTTTCAAGTCAGAAAAAATCTTACGGTAGGTATGCTGTTAGGACAATCATTGAGATGAAAACAACTAAATTACATTATAATGAATATATTATTTATATAATCATTATATTTCCTGTTTAGATCCGGGATCAAACTTCCAGAGGGGAACGTGCTGTAAACACAGCGCTAATAAGACGAGCAATTGAACAGCTCAATGAAGATAATGACGTATTGAGATGTCTTAGAAGCATGGGTCAAGCCAATGCTGATTACTTAAGACGCCAAATCGGTCCACCTCCATCACCATAGCCTCTATCCTATATTTTTTTACATTTTTATTATTTATTTTACATTTTTTTTTTAAATTAATATTTTTTGCCGGTTTAATTGACAAACGACCAACAATTACTATTTTTAAACAATTCATATTTTTTGACAACTATTTGACTAACAACCAACAATTATTATTTTTTGACGAATTATTTGACAAACAACTAACTACTTAGAACAAAAGGAAACAATATATACTTACAACTGTACTTACAGCTAGCTTCTTCAATCAAGAATGTTAAAATGAAAAAATTATCATTAATAAAAGCGTCAGAAAAGTTTGGTATCCCCCGTACAACTTTAAAGAGAAAAGTAATCGGTACTCATACGTAAAATTACGGTGGTCAAAAAGTCTTAAGTGACGTTGAAGAATCTATGTTCAGTGATTGTCTTTTGTTATGTGCACAATGGGGATTTCCTATGTCAAGAAAAGACTTGAGGTTAATTGTAAAAAGTTATCTTGATAAGTTGGGGCGAACTGAAAAAAGATTTAAAAATAATTTACCCTTTAGAGAGTTTGTTATTCGGTTTTTGAAAAATAATCCACAATTTAGTGAACGTTTTGGAGAAAATATCAAAAGAGCTAGAGCTAGTGTCACACAAGATACTGTAAATGATTATTTTGATAATTTTATGAAGTCTCTTGAAAATGTTTCACCATCTAGTATAGTTAACTATGATGAAACAAACTTTACTGATGACCCAAAAAAACAAAAAATCATTGCAAAAAGAGGTTCTAAACATCCAGAAAATGTTTTAGACTCAACTAAAACAAGTGTATCAGTTATGATGGCAGGAAATGCAGATGGAGAATTATTACCACCATATATAGTGTATAAAGCAGAAAACTTGTACCCAAGTTGGACAGAAAATGGGCCACAAGGTTGCAGATATAATAGAAATAAAAGTGGTTGGTTCGACCAACAAATTTTTGATGATTGGTTTCATTCTTTAGCTCTACCTTTTTTTTTAAAAAAAAACCTAGTCCAAGGGTCCTTATTGGAGACAACTTATCTAGCCATGTGTCTTTATCTGTTATTAATGTATGTAAGGAGAATGATATTAGGTTTATTTTATTGCCACCTAATTCTACTCACATATGCCAACCATTGGATGTGGCATTCTTTGGACCACTTAAAAAGAAATGGAGAGATATTTTATTTGTGTGGAAAAGTTCAAATAGAGGCGTGGTACCTAAATCACAATTTCCTGGTCTGTTAAAATCTACAATTGATGCACTTGAAACAAAAAATACCAACTTAGTAGCTGGATTTGCTGCATGTGGTATAGTTCCTCTTGTCCGTACAAGGGTCCTTAAAAAACTACCTGATTATATAGACTCAAGTATGGATATTTCTGAATCTTCATTGACAAGTTCTATTATTGATGTTCTAAAAGTTACTAGATGTCCAGAAGTCAGAGAAAGGGCTCGAGTTAGAGGGAAAAAAATTAACGTAGAGCCTGGTAAAAGTGTGGGGGCTGACAATTCTGATTCTGAAAGTTCTAACGATAGTTCTAACAGTTATGAAAGTTCTGATGATTCTAATAGTTATGAAAGTTCTGATGAAGAAGTTGATGGTAATATGGTTCAGTCTCCTCCAACTGCATCAAATGGTAACTATGTAAGTATTTCATCGCCACCGCCTATCAACTTTACATGTAATAATGAATCTGCTTCAAAATATCAAGTTGATGAATTAATTGTAGCAAGATTTAAGTCCAATAAAAGAGGTCTGCTGTATGTTGGTAAAATTTTAAAATTGAATGAACAAACATTAGAAGTAAGTTTCATGAGAAAGATTATTGGAAAGAATGATGTATATTTCTCTTTTCCAAATGTGCTTGATGAATGTGAAAATTGATTATAAAGATGTTGTATGCAGTATTACCAAACCAATAGACTTGAGAAGAAACAGATTTAAGTTCCTTAATTTAAATTTAGACTATGATATCCTAAACTAAATGACAAATATTCCTAAATAAAAGACTAATTATTTTTAAGTATTAAACCTGTTGATTTTGTTATAATTTTAAGTATTAAACCTGTTGATTTTGTTATAATTTTAAGTTAGGTACCTTTATTGTTACATGTTTAATTATGTTCCTATCAAGAAGATATAGTAAAGATTTAACTGTTTCTTTTTTTTAAATATTTATAATTTGTTGTACCTATTGATTATACTAAGGAAGGTAAAAAGTAACATTATTTTATTTTTAACATTGTAACAAATTGCTCAAATTATTAAATAAATAAGTTTCAACAATTGTTTGTACTCAAAATATTGGCTAATTATTTTTAAGTATTAAACCAGTTGATTTTGTTATAATTTTAAGATAGGTACCTTTATTGTTACATGCTTAATTATGTTCCTATCAAGAAGATAGAGTAAAGATTTAACTGTTTATTTTTTTTAAATATTTATAATTTGTTGTACCTATTGATTATACCAAAGAAGGTAAAAAGTAACATTATTTTATTTTTAACATTGTAACAAATTGCTCAAATTATTAAATAAATAAGGTTCAACAATTGTTTGTACTCAAAATATTGTCTAATTATTTTTTAAAAATGTAATTTAGTGGTCCACTTCAAAACTAGAATAGATTGAAGTGGTTTTTAATATAGTTATTATTTAATATATTTGTTATATTAGATGAGCGGAGTAGTGGACAAACATTTCGCGGGGTAACCCCGTACCACTCTACTCCGCTCATCTAAACTTATATACTTATAACTCATAAACTAATTGCCCTAAATTCAATTTTTATATATCGAAATACTCAGAAAAATATTCTGTTTTTGAATATCAAATTAAAATTACATGTTGTCATTCAAAAAGTAAAAAAATTTAATAATTAAAAGGATAAAAAATATTTAAAAATATAATTTTTTAATAAAAATATTGTTTTTTAACAACTTGAAACTATGTAAAAAAATATTTTCTTAAACATTAATACTTTTTGAAATAATGAGTGTTCAATGATAAAAATATCACCCTGTATAGTGGTACCTGTGGTTTTTATCCAGAATATCTGATAATGAATTTTATTAAAATAAATCACGGTTTAAAATATAAGGTTATATGCATAATATGATAATATACCAATATTTCCCGCATAAATTTAAATAATGTTAAAATTATTTTTTGTAAATAATCATAGGTCCCAAATGTTATACTTTGTTTGTTTTAGTGTAAGTATTAGTTGAATTACAGATTAATGAAAATTATCTGTAATGGTATTTAATATTATATATAGTAATGTAGTACCTGTGTGTACTATTAATATTGGAATTGCCAATGATATTTACATTTCAAAGGACAAAAGTACATTTTGGTTATCTGCCAAAAGTCATTTTTATTACATTGAGTTACATCTATTACACATTGTGTTACATTAAATTTATAATAAATTGTGATACATTTATTATACATTGAGTTACATATTTTATTACACATTGAGTTACATATTTTATTACACATTGACTTACATATTTTACTACACATTGTTACTGTAAAATGGGGAATTATTCAAAATATGAAAAAAAATATAACGCAAATGGGAACTTTTACCATGCTTTTCAGGTATATTTAAATAAATTTTATAGCTATAACCGTGTAACACAGTGTTAATAATTGTACAACCCATAGGATGGCTTCAAAGAGCACCAGATAAATTTGCAGGCAAAGGAGAAGCGTATTGCAAGTTATGTAAGCCACTATTACGAGCACATAAGACTGATTTAAAACAAACATGCTTCTACCAACTGTCATAGACTAAGAGCCAATAGTTTAGATGTTCAAATACAGCCTGGCTTGACATCATTTTTTAAGTTAAATTACTACAGTAAATAATACCCAACAAAAACACTACGCCAAACTTCGTGCAAAAAACCGCTCAGTATAAAAAAAAACCACCTCAAAAAGTTGTGATATCATTTTATAGCTATGTATTTAAACTATATAGGAATAGATATATTATTATAATTTATGTTAAAATTCATTGCTTATTAATTGAACTTAGCTGGTGACTTTAAAATTATAATTTATAACAATTAATTTATATAACACTTAATTAGTATCACTCATTTTCAAAGATAAAATGTATACTCAATACGAAATGAATTCTCATGAGTTTTAAATAATGTCACCAGCTAAGTTCAATTTATAAGCAGTGAATTTTAACATAAATTATAATAATATATCTATTCCTATATAGTTTAAATAAAATGATATAAAATGATATCACAACTTTTTGAGGTGGTTTTTTTTTATACTGAGCGTTTTTTTACACGGAGTTTGGCGTAGTGTTTTTGTTGGGATATCACTATTTTTTTTATGTTATTATTATTATTGTTGTTGTTGTAATCATTATTATTAAATATTATAATGTCATATATGTATCATTATATATTAAACATTTAAGGCTTTAATTATTTTTTTCCATTAATATAATGTAAATATCTTTCCCCCCCCCCCCCGAGGCCACCGTTCATACTTTATTTGAGTATCATTACACCTCACCCAATTATTTTGATGCCTTATTAAGTTTGTATAATGGCCCTCAGTCATTTGTTCCCCATGATTACATATAACTGAATGCACTCGATAATAGATTGAATTAATTTTTAATTTTGTAGTTTGAACTTGATTAATTATTAGGTTATTAATTTTATTTTGGAAATTGTTGGACCAGAGTAATACTTATAGCATTATATATTGGGTTGTGTTTGTTAACTTAATATTTTGGTGATGAGTACAACATGTATTGCAACTGGGACATTGAACTTCATTTATTTCAAATACGTTACAATTATTTTGGTGACAAACAATTGAATGTCCTAACTTTGTAGACCTACTAAATTTGTTAGTACATAGATCAAAATGTTTGGTCTTATTATGGAATTGTTCTAGCCTCAAGCTTAAAAGCAGTTTTAATATTTCTAAGAATCTCGGTATAATGTAAGAACATTGCAAATTACATACGGCACTATTACAGTGCCATGCAATTTTTTTCATGATATGATTCAGGTAATACTTTATAAGCAGATTCAAAACAGTATGGTTCAGTGTTTTTGCTATGCTTTGACTGACCTAGTATAGAACACAATAAATCAAAATTTACACTGCACACAATCCAATAAGGTTCAATGAGTGAGCAGAACATGGAACAAAATCAGCAAGTGGTGCTACTAACTTAATTCGAGCTTGAACTCCTACCAAACATATTTGCGGCATTATCATATGATTGACCTCTAATGCTAGTTCTACACTCTCGCCGAGGCGACGCGAGCACGAGAGTGTAGTCGGTTCACTCGTGTCGTCTCGTCTCGTCTCGCCTTGCCTCGTGCGTGCTCCGTTCGGTGTCGGGTTTTTTGTCGCGAGTCAAAGGACACGTGCCACGAGGCGAGGCTTATCAACTACATTCTCGTGCTGTCTCGTGCTTGTCTGGTTTGAAAACAGCCGTTTAATATTGGTTTATTTATTTATTGTTTAGTCATTTACATGGTAAAAATTTTTTTCGTTCAATAATTTATTAAAATGTCTGACTGGACTAACGAAGATGCAATTGCATTTATGGAGCTTTATCAAACTAAACCTATTTTATGGGATCCAAAGCATCGTTGGCATAAAGATAAGGCCAAAGTAAATGATGCTTGGGTCGAAATTAGTAATGTGTTCAACAAACCAATTGATGAACTGAAAAATAAAAAAAATTCCATCATGGCAACGTTTCGTGGGCATTTAAGGAGAAAAAAGGCGTCGATCAGATCAGGAGCCGGGCAGGAAGATATTTATAAGCCAATATGGTTTTTATATAATCTAATTGAAAGTTTTATGGGAAATATTAATGATTGCAACGCTACTTTGAACACAGAACAGGTATGTACATATTTGGTGGATCGTGAAGTTAACGTAGAGTGGTACACTGTACACATTTAATTTTGTAAACGACTGTGTCGTTAACGTTTTTAGATAAATAGATTTTAAAAATTCATTTTAATTTTGTTATTATTCAATACCTACTATACTAAAATACACTCATCGTCACACCGTCGTCATCAACGCTCATAGGCACAATTAATTTTGAATTTATTATAGGTAATATTATATATAATATTTTTTTTATTTTTTAATATTATATATTATATATTTATTATATATAATTTATTATATTATTATGTCAATTTTTTTTTTAATACCATAGATATGTATATAATATGTCTTATACCTAGACTGACATACCGTCTCCACTTGTAACCTACTGTACAGCAGAGCACCTTTTTTATATGAATGTCAATAAAACTTTATTTGTTGAGTAAAAATACTTGAAAATTTCACTAAGAGCAAACGCCCCATCCCCTAAAAAAACATATGGAATATCTGTACTAGTATTCGAACCATGAAGCGGTGATGGGGTTGGTAAATTGAGGCTATTTGAACAAATTTTTTGCCATAATAACGAATTTCTAAGTACACCGCCATCACTGATTCGCCCTTGACTCCCGATGTCTGCATATATAAAGCGATAATCACTACTGACTAATGCCATTAAAACAATGCTGAATGAGTTCTTATAATTATAATATTCTGATCCTGTATTGATGGGGAGCGGATTGCAAAACAACGTGTTTTCCATCTATTACTCCGATACAATGGGGACATTTTCTATTGAATCCCTCTTCTACCAACAACCACTCACCAGCAGAAGATGGCAACTGAAACAAAAATGTATATTATTTTTTTATTTATTCCATCTTAGTATACATATATCTTAGTATCTATATTAAAATATAATATTAATATTAAAATTTCAGGCATTTTTGTTCAAAATTAAAAATTTCATTCGATAAAACTTTTTAAATTACGAGTAAAAAAATTTAAAACAATAATATTTAATTTTAGGGTAATAATTCACAAAATGCACAGGAGATAACGGCAGATGACAATATTAATGAAACAAATTTATCCAACCAAATCGGTCAACAAACTGAAGACGTCAATCAAACACAGCGTCGCCCACCGGTTACACCCCGATGCCGAAGTAATCCTACCGAACTAGAAGAAGCGGGAAAACAAATGAAAAAGGCTTTTAGTACTCTGGAAAGTTGTATAAATAACACGAAAGAAGAAGACGAGTGCGATCTTTATGCAAAAATTTTCGCAAAAAAATTACGTAAACTACCTGAATGTGAACGTGAAATATTTATGTACGAGATTGATGGAATGTTTATTATTCGTTTACGTCATTGCAACAATCAATCATTGACTTCATATACCAACCCTTCTTTTACTCCTCCAGTATCAAATCAACCAAAATCAGCTGTTGAAATAAATACACCAAAAAGACCATCGTCTTCTTTAAGTTCTTATTCTGAACCTGAATTGAGAATTTGTAATCGTCCATTAATTCCTCATTACTCTACTTCTCAGCCTCATTCACCAGTAATTCATATTCCGGAAAGAAGTGACACGTGTTCTAACTCTCCGATTTCAAACCTTTGCAACTCTCCATCTCTACGTCAAACACTAATATTTCAAACCAACTAAATGTAACTACATCGAACGCTCCAAATTTAATAGACACTGCTTTTTGCGCTGCTCTTGACAATTACAGTGGAGATTATAATTGATATTAATTAATAATTAAAATAAGGCGAAAGTATAAATAAATGTAAAATTATGTTTCAGTTGTGATAAATTTAATGAAAGTTATATTTTTTATTTTTGTTGTTAAAATTTAAAAAGAAAACTAAGTTATGTTTTGTTTTGTTGTTAAAAATATTTAAAAAGTTAAAGTTTTGTTTTTTTCCTTAAATACTTTTAAAAAGGTTAAGTTTTGTTTCATTTGCATACAATATTATAAATTATTATGCCCGTATAAATTCATAATAAATTGTATATTTCACTCTACCTAGAATATTGTTACCTTTATTTCATCTTTGAGAAGGTCGTTGATTGCAGCACATACTTCTGGAACAATAATTGAAATGATTTGACTGGACACTTTAAACAAAAAATGTAAACTCTTATAACTATCTCCAGTAGCCAAAAATCGTAAAGTGATAGCAAGTCTGGTTTTGGCAGGTATAGGTTCTCTTAATTGAGTGTGTATTTTAGATATCACAGGTGAAATCTTGTCTAGTATATATGAGAAATCTGATGATGACATTCGTAGGAAATTTTCAAATTCGCCTGAAGGTTCAAAAAGCAATTCTGCTAACATATGATCGGTACTTAGGCTGAAAAATTTTAAAATATAACATAGATAATGATATATAGAAAAAATTTGGTAAAAAAATAAGGTAAAATTTACCTTGTTCTATTTCGGTGTATTTTTGTCATCCACCATCTCCTTTTTTTCCATGGTTTTTTAATATTTTTTTTTTGGTAAATATTGAGGAAATTATAGTAACTAAAAGCACACAATGCTGCCGCGGTGGTTAACTCGACCACGTCCATTTTGCATAATCGTTAACTCCCAAATGAGTATAAATTTGGAGAGTGTACGTCAAGTTGGTACGAGGCGACACGAGACTACACGAGAGTGTAGAGTGTGCATTCGTGCGCTGCCTCGCCTCGCGTTAACTCGACAAGACTCTCGACGGGGTGACCTCGCGAGGGTGTAGAGGAAGCATAAGAAATTTAATATCAATATTATCCTTATTAAATGTAGAAAAAATAGCTTCTGCTATTGGTTCAGCTTTGTGTCCAGTATTTTCCATGAACCCCAAAAATCGTTCAACAGGTTCTCCAATACTATTTACATATCTTATGACAAATGATAACTGGTCAGCATTTGATATATCAGGTGTCGAATCAACGCTAATCGAATAATATGTTGAAGATTTTAATTCTTCTACTATGGTACTTATTACTTTCTCAGCCATAATTTTAATAAATTGTTCATAAGTAAAAAACGACATATAGGATGTATTTCCTTTACCCGGATTTCCATAATTTAATATATGTTTTGATAAAAAGGGATCATACTCAGCAATAAGTTTCATAGCCATTATAAAATTGCCATTATTTTGTCAGAAGATTCAAAACTGTCATCTCCACCTCTGAATGATAATCCATGACTAGATAATGATTTAACAACAGAATAAACTCTATTGAGCACATTGATCCAGTAATCGGTCTCAGTTTGAAGTTTACATGTAAGTTGTAAGTCTACTGTTCCAAAATCTGATGAACGATGCTTCTTTTTAAATGTACAGGTTTTATGCATGGTTGAATTTTCATGAGAATTAATTTTATTTGGACGTTTCCAGTCTGAAAATCCCTTTCGTGAAAAATTGGAAGTATTTCCAAACAAATAACATGGGATGCAGTATATTTTACCATTACTAACTGAGTAACAAAGATAGTCTCTTTGACATATTTTACCATTAATTAATGTTGTTTTTAATAAATCTTTACTTAGGTACCTATTATGTGGTCTAAATTGTCCTTTACGTATATACTGGTATTGCGTTTTAGATTGTGAAAAATCACTATCCAAGTTCTGATTAAATCTGTTTCTGCAAATAAAATATCTGGTTACCTCATTTAATATCCATAAAGCAGGATATCACTATAAAAATTTTTCAAAAATAATGATTTTATTTTAACCCTAAAATTCTAAATAAAATTGGTACCTATTTTGTTATGCAAATATTATTAATTTTCTTATTAATAATATTAGGTACAATTCTTAATTTAATAACTTACTCTGGCATATCTGAAGAACTGGGTGTTTGTAAAATATTCACTTCATTGGAAATTTGAGATTCTAAACATTCATTTCTATCATGTACTTCTTTAATGGATTTACATTTTATTAAAGATTGATCAGTAAGTGGTACATTCAAACTTTTTACTGAATCAATAAATTCATTGCTTGAACGCCTTGAACAAATAAAATAATCAATAAACATTATTTTCTTCATTCTAAGTAAACATAACTTTTATATAGAAAAAATAATAAGAACAATATAAATTATCATAGAATATAAGTATGTGAAAAAAACACATGCAGATTGCAGGTATCACGTCCATATTATAATGATGTGGCTATACTCTATGTGCCATGTGGTCAGCGCACCATTTATTTTTGTTTTCTCTCTCTTGCCCAAGCGCAACATAGACAAAACGAAATTACACTGATTAATTTGTTCTATGTTTTTAAGTAATCTATGAGTAAATATTGTCTCAAAACAATTTAAACATAATTTTAATTTTAATTATAAATTTTTGTTTATTTTGAAAATAGAATACAAAGTCAAATAACAATAAAATTTAAAATCGATAGGTATGTAATTCCCTCAAAAATATTATTCTCTATCTTTATTGTAATGGGTTATTTTACTCAAAGGTTACTTAAAATCATAGAAAAAATGATTCTGCGTAAATGCGTTTTGTCTATGTTGTGCATGGACCAGACACCGAAAACAAATAGTGCACTGATATCCTCTTAACATGTACTATGTCTAGTAAATTGTGGTTTTAATTTATTTAGGTAGCACCTAGGTCCTATGTGAATTTTATCTGAAAATATTAAAACTAATATTAACTTTTTAAAGTTTTATTTATTTAAATTCTTGTAAGTATGAAAAAAACTCATAATAATTTATAAATTTTTTTAAATATTTTATATCAACGATTTTGATTTAAAAAGAGTACTTTAGATGCTTTGCTTGGTTTAATCCAGTTTCTTTCATCATTTAATGTCATTCCGGTTTTACTAAAGAGGCGCTCACACGGAACGGATGTGGCTGTGATACATAATCTTTTTAACACTAAGTCGGGGACTAAACGGGGATATTGAGGTTTTCTACTGTTCCACCAAGTAAGAGGATTCTCATATCTGTTTATAATGGGCTCATTCATATACTTGTCCAATTCTATTATTCCAGCTGCTTGGGGGTTATGTGAAGCTCTGTGTCTATTGAACTGTTCATCAAATGATTTCCATAACAGTGAACTACTAGTACTAGACTCATCAATTTGCTGAGGATTGTAATTATGTGAATTTGTGTCTTCAACTTGAACATAGCACACTTTTTCTTTTAGATTATTAAGAGCATTAGTAAGTTTTTGTTCACTTACATTTGAAAATGCCAACTTCTTATAACGCGGATCTAATAATGCAGCCTGTGTAACAAGATCATTGTCTTCAAATGGTTTTAAACGAGAAATTATCTGGTGCTTTAAGGTAATTACCATGTTATGATTGGTAAACTTATATCATGTTCATAATTTGTCATAGATTCTAACATAACACCAGTAAAAATCAGCACAACTGATAATGTGACATATTGATCACCACTGATTTCCTTCGTTACCTCATAAAATATTTCAAGCACTACTGAAGCCTTCTCAACAATAATCCATTCTTCTGAAGTCAATAACTCTACATTTGCTTGAAGTACGGCCAATGTAGAATTTATTGCATCTTTCACTTTGACAAACCGTTGTAACATGTCATAAGTGGAGTTCCACCTAGTGACAACGTCTTGGATGAGTTTCAGTTTTGGAAGATTCATCTGTTCTTGAGTAGCGTGTAATTTTGCTAATGCATGATGACTGCACTTGAAGTATTCAACTATACTTTTAACCTTTTGGGTGATGGGTGAAATAACTTTAAGACCATTTTGTACAGCAAGGTTCAAAGTGTGAGCAAAACATGCAACCTGACGATAATTAGTCTTTTCTATACCATTTCTGACATTAGACGCATTATCACTGACGATCGCTGTTACTTTATGAGCAATGTTCCAATCTCTCACAATTGTCTTAAGTTTTTCACTTATAATATCTGCTGTATGTCGGTCACTAAATTCTGTACAGTCAAGACAGAAAGATTTCAACTCTGTGTTAGTATCAAAAAAATGAGCAGTTGTGGCCATAAAACTTGTGTTCTCATTTGAAGTCCAACCACCTGTTGTAAGATACACAGCTAAAGTGTGGTCTGTTAAACATTTTACATCATTCTTACAATTTTCATAAAGCCTCGGTATTATGTTATTAGAGACTGTCTTTCTACTAGGCAATACATATAAAGGATTTAGCATACTTAAAAAAGTTTTAAATTCTGGATCTTCAACAAGAGCAAATGTGTAAAATCTAAAAAAAATATATATTATGTATATATTTATTAAACATACTAAGTAAAAAATAAAAATATGTATTACCTTTTTACTATCATTTTAGTAAGTTGCTCATCAAACTGTGTTTTTTTAGTAACTGGTAGAGGTTTACATTGTTGAACAAAATCAGTCATTCGTGTTTGTGCACGTGGACGTTTCGGTGGCTGTGAGAAATACTGAGACACTTCAGGAATTATTGAAGTCATAACTGAACTTGTCTGTGTCACATTAGTGCCGGGTTGCATGAAACAGTTCCGTAAATTGTTGGACCGATAATATATTTATAGTAAAATAATGGAAGTTAAAGAACAGATTGCGTTTCATGAAAGTTTTATAAATTGTATCAAATAATCAGTTTATAACTAGTTATCTGGTATTCAGTAGTACATAAATATTATTCTTATCTTAATTGTTTTTTTTTGAAGAGATAAGAATGTTTTGGTTATTTAATAATTTATTAATTGACAATTGTTAAATATTTTTATTTTCCGTGTTATAAATGTTGTAATGTGTTTGTCAAAACTATATGGCTTTTATTTAATTTAATAATTAAATAATTAAATATTTAAATATATTGCCGGGTTGAATGAAACAGTTATGGAAGACGATAAAAAAAGGGGCAAGAATTTTACCGAAACAGAAAAATCAATTTTAATCGATCTTATTTTGCCATACAAAAATATTATTGAAAATATCAAGGTAAGAATAACATGCTTTATTATTATTTACTGTTTATTGATTCTATTTTCTACAACAATTTTATGAATGAATACAGTTTCAAAAGTCAAATTTGCATATTTCTGGTCAGGGGCGGATAGGGCTATTTTATGTTACCGGGAAATTAATTCAAGGGGGGCCCCAAACATTTTTTACTCGCTTCGCTCGCAGTACGATCACTAATCAGATTTTGTAATTTTGTGTACACTGTTTGAGGATGTAAAAAAAAATTAATAGTAGGCTACAATTCTAGCCGGAGGCCTAGTCCGCGATCCGGCTATATCAACTGTACTATTTATAATCAATGATTATACGTACAATACTACAATGTCATGTATAATTAACGTAAACGCAAAAGTATTTTTTTCATTATTATTTATAATTATAAACCAATAAAATAAACTATTTACTAATTTGTATATAGTTTGATATTATATAATTGTTTGATAAATAACATTTCAAACATAAAATACGGTATTGAGACTGGGGGCCCCATAATTAGGTACGGACAGGGGCCCACCGGGAAAATCCCGATTTCCCTATAGGCGGCATCCGCCCCTGTTTCTGGTGTTCAGAATACATTAGTAATACAATATTAAAATATATAGACTGATGGTGCAACAAATAAAGAAAAAGATTTGGCATGGAGTGAAATTGCAAATATATACAATTGCCAACAAATTACTGGTATCAGAACCATTCGTCAATTGAAATCTGTATATGATGTTCAAAAAAGAAAGGCTCGAAAAGACAAAAGTGATTATAAGGTACCTATAATCATTTCAATTAATTTATTGTTTTTGAAATATTTAAATTAAAATATTGAAAATTTTAGGTTGAACTTTACAAAACTGGTGGTGGTCGTAATTTATCAATGCTGTCAAGTACAACAGACAAAGTCATTGGAATCCTAGGTGATCGTTTAGAACCTTTATCTAACCAATATGATTGTGATTCTGACTATCCAAGTATGTATAATGAATTTTATCATAGTTATTTATTCTCAACTATAGATGTTGGTATATTTTATTATTATTTTATAACTTTTAGATGTTAATAACCCACCTGATGAATTCATTATTCAAACATTAAATGAAGATGATTTATCAGATGACTTATTTAACAACTCTGATGAAAACCCCTATTTAATTGAGAATTTACAAAAAAAAGATCTCCAGAAATACTTTTAGCACCAAGCAACAAATTGGTAAAAATATTGGACAAACAATCTGTTGCTCATAACGTCGCCACTAGTCATCCTGCAACTGTGGAACAAAATATAAACAAAAAGCATGAGTCTTCTGCAAAAAAGGTTTATGAAGGACTAAACCTTTTGACTTCCAAACATTTGGATATAGTTGAAAGTAAAGAAAAGCTAAAAGACAATTTAAATTTGTTAGCAATAAAAAAATCAAAATTGCAGTTAGAAATTACAGAAATGGAACAAAAGATCATGGTCCTGAGATATGATACTGAACAACAAAAGTGTGATTCAGAACTCAAGCAAAACAAATTAAAAGAACTAATTCTTGAGTCTGAACTAAGTCAGAATAAAATGAAAGAAACTATTCTTTCAAAACAATTAATAATTAATTTGTAAGTCATTCATATATATTATGTGTGTTTGTTATTTTATTATATGTGTAGTAAAAGTTTATTTTTATTTAAATTTGATAATACAGAAAGTTACCTTAAAATTAAAAATAACCTTTTGTTAAGTTATAAAATAAGTAAAAAAAAATAGGATATATTGTAAGAACAATAAGTTTCATTTTGTTGATTAATTTAAAGTTTTTATTAATTATTTTGTTTAAAGTTTACTAATTTTATTGAACAGGATGTTATAATTATGATTTATTTTTATTAATGTATCTAGTTTTTACTTAATTTTATTTTGTTATATAGGTATTCAGTTAATTTTTATATTGTTTGTTACAGAAAGTTATCTAAAAAATGAATAATAGACTAATTAAACCAAAAAATGTTTTAAAAATTTAAAAATAAAAATATTTTACAAATTAATGATTATGTCAAGAAAACACAGTATTTATTAAATGTGATTTTTCAGCATTTCCTAACTGTCGAATAGGCAAGGTTGGTATCTCTTGAAGTAATTCAATATCAATTAAATGATTATCAATTTCTTGAGGTATCTCATCTTTTTCTTTTAGAAGAAAATTATACAGAACTGCTGTAGCAACGATAGTAGCCATAGTAGTACTTAGTTTTGTGCGAATTCCAACTGCTAGAACAGGAAATCTTCTCTTTAAAACCCCAAACAATCTTTCCACTACATTCCTTGAACCAATTTGAGCTTTCTATCAAAACAAATAATAGTTTTAAAAAAAAAAGCAGTGGCGTTAGCCATGTAACTATAGACTATAGTTGTAAGTTATAAATTAAAACAGTTTTAGGTACCTAAAGGTAAATCAAACTTAACCTCACCACACACAAAAGAGGAGGTATAAATTTCAAATGAGTTGTTTTTTTTACTGTAGGTTGGATAAAAAAAAGGCAATAGGAGGGGTTATAACCCATAACCTCCCCCTCTCGGCACGTCACTGAAAAAAGTGTGGCAAGCGCTAGCGTTTAAATGTATTCAAAATATACTTGATATTTGCGTTCAGCTTCAGTTCTTGGATTCAATAAAGGAGTTAGGAGATAATTTCTACAAGGATAACCTCCATCACCAAGCAAAAAAGAATTTCCAAACTCATTATTTTCAAATTTTGCTCGTATCAAACTATTATCAAAGATAGTGCTATCGTGGACAGATCCAGGCCATCTAAATAAAAATAGAAAAGTAACAAGAAACGTAATAATGGATGATTATTTTAATGAAGTTAAAAACAATTTAAATATACCTCGCTACAATATCCAATATTTTTAAATTGCTATCACATATTGCTTGGACATTGAAAGAGAAATACCCTTAACGATTACGGAACTGTTCGCCGATATCATTTTAGATTCTGAGTGAAACGATGAATGTATTGATTTTACAATGATGTGTGTTTTTTTTTTTATTTTTTTGTCTGTCTACACGTTTTAGGACAGTAAAAGTGCTTGGATTTTCTTCATCAGTAGCTTTTCTGATAGGAAAGTGAATCTAGTTGGTACTTTGGGGGGTCAAAAGTATAAATTTCCCAGTAGTTTTCACAAGCGCCGGGTAAAACAACATAAAAATTAAGGAAAAACGAGAATTTTTACTCAAAATTGGTTTTCCAAAAAATCGATTTTGGTTTTTGGTGTAACTTTAAAACAAATGAAGGTATATACATGCAATTTTCACTGGTTGTTTATATTTGCATTTTCTATACACGATAACATTTTCAAAATATTTTGATTTATTTTGAACTGTTTAGGGACATTTTCATTTTCCATTTTTTTTTAGTTTTTTTTCTAAAAATATCAATAAAATTTTATTTGTTGGTTGCGAAAGCTTGAAAATTTAATAGAAGGCTCCTAATATATTGTTTCAAAGGCAGATGAAAAATATTAAAAATTATTAGTCACAATTTTTTTTATAAGCATTTAAAGTTCAAAAATTGACAAAATATGGAAAAATCACGAAAATTAGCAAATTATTTTGAGTTAAGAATTCGTAAAAATTTTTCTTTTTAAATCTAAGATTTGAAAATTAAACACAAGATTCCTTATAAGATTATCTACCTTTATCAAAAGAAAAATGTCTATAAGAAAGTCAAATTAAATTTTTATGAGCGTTTGAAATTCAAATTTTTACAACATTGAATATTCACTCGATTTCCCATGTAGCGATTTCCTTATTTTGTTGTAATTCAAAAACAAATAACTGTAGATACATGAAAATTTCACTGAATGTTTATATTAGCATTTCCTATACACCATACAATTTTGAAAATATTTTGACTCTTTTTGAGCTGTTTATGGACATTTACAACTTTCAATTTTTTTTAGTTTTTTTTTCTATAAATATCAATAAAGTTTTATCTGTTGGGCCAAAAAGTGTAAAAATTTAATACAAGGCTCCTGATATATTGTTACAATAGCAGTTGAAAAATATTAAAAATACATAGGCACAGTTTTTTATTATAAGCATTTAAAGATCAAATTTTGACAAAATTTATCAAAATCTCGAAAATTATCAATCATTGAAATTAATAAATTATAAAATGTTCAGTTTTTATACCTAAGGATTGAAAATTTAAAACAAAGGTTCTCATAAATAGTTCATATTGTAACCAAAAAATCTAAAAAATATATGAACACAGTTATTTTTTACAGACATTTTAAATTCAAATTTGGACGAAATTACATATTAAAAAACCTAGAATAACTATTTTAGTTATTTTGTTGTGATTGAATAATATTATTCGTGGGTACTTGAAACTTCTAAAGTGTACTATTATATATCTATGATAGTATCACGGTTTTTGTTGATGTATAACGCGTTATAAGTACCTATTGGACATTGTGATATGATTAATTTGACATTTTTTATAGGTACCTATTATAGGTAAATTTTTTGTTTAATACCATAGATATGTATATAATATGTCTTATACATAGACTGACATACCGTCTCCGCTCAGAATCGTTTTTCTTATACAATGATATTATATCGTTGAATTCAAATTTAATATCATCCATTATACAGTGACCCACTTGTAACCTACTGCACAGCAGAGCGACATCCACTTACCCACCTTTTTTTTTAATATGATTGTATTCTGGTATGCGAACAATCTAGGGCACCAATAACACGAGGAAATTGATGTAATCTGAAAAATCCTAATTGAACTCTTTGTTGCTCTACAACTGTACTAGGGAATTCAATAAATTGTGGACGTAATCGAGCAATTTCTGTGGAAACTGTTTTAATAACTCTACAAACAGTAGATTTATTAACCTGAATATGATCGCCTAACACCATCTATAATTAAAAACCGCACTGTACTTCTTATTTATAAATTATATAATTTGTGTTTCTAAAAAATACTTGGAATGCTCCAGTAGCATAGTAACGCAGAGCAATTAAAAGTTGAAGTACAGGTGATAGAGATGAACTTCTATTTGTCTTATGTTTAATAGAGTCACCGATCATATGCAAAAGTATCATAAATGTTTCCTTCGACAATCTATTAACAAATGACACAATTTATTAAAAACTGTTAAACTCAGCAGAATGAAAACAACAGACTTAAAAAAATTCTAACCTAAAGCGACACTTGAAGTCCAAGTCGTCATAGTCCTGCAACGGATTTGACCTATCCCTAAACCGCCTCGGTCTTGGAAGATTTATTAAAATTTGAAGAATAATATCTTCATCGGAATCATCAGACGAGGATGACGAAGACATAACAATTAATTATTTAAATTTAAAATGTTTTGAAACAATAAACAATATGGAATTCGATAAAATTAATAATTGTTGAAAATAAATAAATAATAATTTTAAGTGATAATACATTTTAAATTAAATGATAAGGAATCTTTTAAACGGTTCTGCAAATTTTACAGATCCGAATTCGGACCTATAACTTATCGAACCGATAACGGTTTATTGGTTTTTTATTTATCAATTTTACAGAACGGTTTTATTTTTACAGAACCGATAACGACTTATCGGTTCAGTAAATGTTCATGCAACCCGGCATAGGTAAATTAATAGATGTCGTCGAGTCCGTCGAGGTACTTGGTTGTGGATCCTCAGATTCATTAAGAGGCAGCTCTTAAATAATAATTGATTGATTATGGTTAGTGGCATTAAAGTTTAAATTTTAATATTGATAGGTGAAGATTTAAATATTAATTTATTATATATTAAAATGGTATAAAATATATTGTATAGATTAGTTTTTTCTCATACATAAATTGTATTACTAGTAGTGTGAATTATTCAAACAGTAATATTAATCATATTTTTGCTAAAAATGTATTATCAGACACTATACTAAGTTAACTTCCTTTTTAATTTATATACTTTGTAATTATGCAAATATTAATATTGTGGTTTAAAGTTATTCAATAAATAAAAAATAAATAACTTTTCATATTTTCAAATTTAATTTTTATTAATCATGATAAATAAAAACTAATACATTTAAGTACCTCTTTGCTGATTAGACTTGTTTCTATTCAAAGTCACTGTCGGATGCTTTGCTGTTAAGTGCCTTTTAAGATTGTTTAAGCTTCCACCTGCAGTACTTAATTGCATACTGCAGTAACCACATTTCGCTTTGCCACCTTCTACAGTTACAAAGTGGTTCCATATTTCGGATGTTCTTCCTCTATAGTATGGCATATATGATTAAAATAATGAATTTGAATATAATAGATTAACTTGAACTATATTATTTGAAGTAAGATTTTTATTCATTCTTTATTTTCAATTTTAAATCTAAATAAATATTAATATAATTATTATTCATTATTAGCGTCCAAAATTGTTGCTTTTTTTCTAATTTTTATTTACATAATTTTTCAAATTTATTTTCTTATTATTTCTTTGTAACAATTTCTTCTGTCTAACATAGTTTTTTCATCAATAAATAACTTGTGATGCATACAATTAAAAATAAAAGCAATAAAATATTTTGACAGATTAACAAATATAAGTAAATGTAATAATTTTAAATACAAATTAGAATATGAATGTTAATCTGAAAAAAAATAATCAGAATTTTAATTTTATTCATGTCTATACTGTATAGTACTGTATATTATACACCATATTAGTTCCACAGTCCTAAAATTAAGTAAGATATTTCAGTCTGAAGTGTGTCTTTTTATGTGTCTTATAAAAATAAAAATACAATTAAAAATGGATAAGCATCTTTGTTTATCGAATTCTTCTTTCCATATTGTGAAATTTGTATTAGCATCATATTATGCAGGTGTGTTATAAAATTAACACTCAGTGGAACAATAGATTTTTAGCAACTTAAATTATAAGTTAAGTATCTATTAAGTATTAACAAATAAAAATATTAAATAATATTTACCTATGTAGTATGTATACAGATGGGAAACAGGAAATTCACATTATATATTTAAAAATAACAATAACTATAATATCATATATAGTATATACTTTAAATATAAATGCAAATAACAATCCTAGTGTTATAGAATACCCACGCGTAGGTACTATAGACTACAGTACAATGTGAAACACGTTGAAACACCAAATGTAAATGAGGAATCTATAATCCGTCAATACTCAATTCATATTACACATGGATCTTTCCGATACTGTGAGGTTTTAGGAATAGAAACTAAAAAGTTGTCATACATATTAGTAGTATATATGTACCAGTCCTGGCGCAGCACCTTTAATAATAAATATATCAGTAAAAGATCACAAAGAAAACAATGTGCAAAAAGATCAGAAAATTGAAATGCAATAATAATAAAAAAATTTTTCGCAAAAACTTATGAAATGCAATAATAATAAAAATATTTTCCGCAAAACTTAATTATTAAAAATAAAAATCGAAATGCAATAATAATAAAAATATTTTCCACAAAACTTAATTATTAAAAATAAAAATCGAAATGCAATAATAATAAAAACATTTTTCGCAAAACTTATTAAATACATTTTCACCCCCAAAATATTTTTCATAATACTTATGATATTAATAATTAAAATCGAAATGTAATAATAATTAAAATATTTTTTAATAGAATTGTTCTATTAAAAAAATGTTCAATATTTAACGCGTTATTAAAATCCAAAAATCTTTAAAAACGATTTTACACTATGATACTATGAGGGGGACTTATAAAGAATTAAAATCAAAAATTTTAATGTAAAAATGAAGATTCTAACATAAATAGCAACGGAGTTATACTTAAATGAAAAATATGAAGCGGGGGGTAAACTTTTAATATGTAGTGTAGATAAGTATATAAAACATATCTGTGTTGTTCCGACTTGATAATATCAAATATTAAATGAAATATAGGACTTGTAATATTTAACAAGGTCAAATTATATGACTGTGTAATAATAATTTAAATCGAAAAAAAAAAATAGAAAAAATTTGCAAAAGTAGTCCCCATTGTACAGACATCGGTTTTTTTATTTTTATTTTTTTATTTTTTATTTTTTTATTTTTTTGTTGACATCTGTACAACAGGGGGGCTACTGAGATATGTAGCCTTCATCGTATCACAACACAATGAGGAGACGTTATATTATATAACGTCGTATATGTAGACTCCAGGGACCAGTGAGGAGAACTTATCTATGATATCACAGGTAACACTAGTGTCTTAAATCCGACTATACTCAACATATAATCGAACAAGCCACGTGTCGTGTGTAGAGCTGTAAATACCACAAATAAAATCCCACCCAGCCAGTATCGAACCTACAACTGTATGCATACAAAGCCTAACATCTCCCCACTGCGCCACGACACTCGGGCATGTATAATAGTATAACAAACACTATTTAAATAGTATTAAGCTAGTATAATTATATCACACTGTATACTATAATATACTCACGCTGTATAGTAGTCAGTAGATAAGCTATTCAATACCGGATGTTAAAAAATAATCATTCTAGCTGCATATTATTATTATTATTATTATTATTATTATTATTATTATTCGAATCGTGTACTTCATGTAATTCATCATCGATTATTCGAAATGTTTGGAGTTTCCCTATACCTTGTTCTTGTTCAAACAAATTTAAAAGTGTTGTTATATTAATATCAAAATCACTATCATTAAACATGGGGCTTAGGATTTTACGTTGTTGTTCAATCATATTTAAAAGTGTTTTCATATTTTCTATTATTTATATTAGTAAATATTTTTTTAACACCGATAATTTATTAACTATTATAAGGACAGACAGATGGACGTTCAATATTATTATGTTTGTCTGTCTGTTTGTCTGTTTGTCTGTTGTCTGTCTGTCTGTATGTCTGTCTGTCTGTTGTCTGTTGTCTGTCTGTTGTCTGTTGTCTGTCTGTTCGTAAAGATTAACATTGTTATGTTATTTAGAAATAAATATAATTTAAATATGCGATTAAAAAAAAAATACATCTCTATTATAATAAATAATAGAAATGGAAAATTTGAAAACACATTTAAATAATTGCAACGATCAATATGATTTTGTAAAAGTATGTGACTTAGAAAAAGGAAAAAAATATGAGGTTACTCGTTTCAAATATATTGATACAATTTATGGTAAGACAATAGTTGTTATATTAGATAAAAAATTGCAAGTATTTTTACCAGATAGATTTTTAGATGTGTTTACAAAAGAAAATATTTCATTATATAATCTAAGTTCGAAAAATTTTAATCTTGTTTATAATGGATTACAAAATTTAGATAACGGAAGCACAAAGCAATTGATACAATTTGAATAAAATAATATTATAATTATATAATTATAATAAATATATATAATTACTTTTATAAATGGTATTTATAAAAGTTAAAAACGGTTGTATTTATTTATCAAACAAATATTATAATAATAATAATTATAAAATAGGTCTGGATTCAATATTTATTAAAGGGTTAAATTGGTTTAATATTGAAACAGATTGTAAAATACAAATTAATGATAAATTTATAGAAATAAAAAAAGGAGAATATAGTATTAATGAATTAAACAAACAAATTCAACCTTTAGTGTTATCTTATGCTAATAAAAAAATTGAAATAAAATCTCCTTGTTATTATAATTTAGATGAAAATTTAAAAAATTATTTAGGTTTTCAAAACATAACAATTGATTTTTTATTAACTATTAATAAATCAGCAATGTATGTTCCTACTTCCAATGAACAATATATAAATATAGAGAAAGAATGTGAGATTAAAATATATGATGATGATGATGATGTAAATTCAAATAACATTTATAAAATCCCTATTGGTATTTATTTATTATCTGAATTAGAAGCAATATTGAATACTGATAGAAATGATGGTATAATACTTACAATAAATGAAAAAAATGAATTAAATATTAATACTAACATGCATAATTTTGTTATGGATCGTTATTTAAAGAATTCTATACATTTTTATACACAAGGTTTCTTTAAAAATTTTAATGGTGTTATAACGAGTCGAAGTAATAACATTAAAACTATGATAAAGGGAAATTATTCAATTGATCAATTGAATAGTAAATTACCCTTAGGTATTAAATTACAAAATGATAATAATTGTATTACATTTACTTCAAAAACTGATTTTTTGATGGATCAAAATTTTAAAACAAGTTTAGGGATTGATAAAATGTATTTTTTATATAAACACATTGGAGAAGGCTTAAATAATAATAATATAAATAAACGATTATTAGAAGTACATTGC